GGTTTTAAAAATGTGGCTCTCGCCTTAGCGCCGCGCACATTCGTTTTTAGAAGTTGCAAGAGCGTCATGGGCTGAGGGCGGGTGGTTTTCAAAATGTGGCTGTCGCTCTCCTGCGCACCGCGCACATTCGTCGTTAAAAACTGCAAGAGTGTCACGGGTTGAAGGCGGTCGCCTTAGCGCCGCGCACATTCGTTTAAACATGTGCAAGGGTTTCATGGATGGAAGGCGGGTCGATGTCAAATTGTGGCTCTCGCCTTATCGCCGCGCACATTCGTTTTTAACCATGCAAGAGCTTCACGGATGGAGGTCGGGTGGTTTTCAAAATGTGGCTCTCGCCTTAGCGCCGCGCACATTCGCTTTTAACATTTGCAAGCGCCCAACGGGTTGAGGGCGGGTGGTTTTCAAAATGTGGCTCTCGCCTTCGCGCCACGCACACTTGTTTTTAAGTATTGCAAGAGTTTCACGGATTTCCATGATCAGCGTACCTGAAATGGTGTTTTGGAAGGATTCAGGATCATGAGCGTGCAACAGGTGGAGTCCAAGGAATGGCGTTCTGGCACGATTCAGGATCGTCAAGACGCAACAGTCAGGTTGACCCGTGGCGTTGGAATCCAGAGAACAATGTTTTGGCATGCTTCAGGGTCTTCAAACGGTAATCTTCCAACGAGGCAATTCACTCTGTGGAAATGAACCGTTGTAGGGGCCTATGAAGCGGGAGCTTGGAGGGAGGGTGTATTCCAATATCGTTGATGACTCTTGGGTTTACACTGGTCCTCCTCCTCCTCCCCCTCATCCTCCTCGTGCTCCGTCTCCTCCGTCTCCTCCTCCTCCACCTCCTCCTCCCCCTCTTCATCCACCAACTGGCTCCTGCATATTGACTGTGAGTCAACACTCGCTGAGGCGGCTGCGCGGTCAGAACAAAGACACGGTGCAGAGATAATCGCGCGTTCATGAACCTTTAGACGCCATACAACGAGCCGTGTGCTGGCGATTACTGGTCATGGAGCCCACCACCGTGCTTGCAGCAGTTGGTATGTGTCGAGCCCTTGGTTTTTCCTGTGTGTGTCTCTCCGCGCGAGACAGTGTGCGCCCAACATGCGCTCAATGTGTTGATAGGGGCCCTGCATGATTCGACTTGGAGGCAAAATCGCAGACGGGATCCGAGCAGATGGGGTCGGAGGATGGCGCCACATCGTCGATGATTCGCCGAGGCATCGGCGATCCATCGGCGCCGTCGGCATGGAGAATCGAGATCGCTGGCGCAGAGGAAGCCGCCCTAGGCGCCATCCTCCGACCTCCGACCCCATCTGCTCTGACCCCACCTGGGAGGCCTGGGCCATCGTGGCCCTGACGTAATTGAAATGGCCCAGGGACCAACACACACACACAAACATACAAACATACACCAAAATCCAAGGATTCCCCGTGTTTTCCTATATCTTCTGGGTCTTCGACTTCCCCCCCCCCCCACTTCCCATATTTTCCCATATTTTCCTGGCGGTCGACGGCTACTTGTCTGCACACCGCCCCCCCCGAGAAGCCCTGGCCCCCGGGCCGTCCGTGGACGGCCCCCGGGGGCCCGGCGTGGGCCCCCCAGGCGCTGAAGCCTGCCAAACACCTGCTGCCGCGAGTGTCGGTCACGCACGAGGGGGCCATGGGGGACCCAGACCCCCCCGAGCAGTGGAACAGTCATGACGCGAGGCGTTTCGCAGTCTTCGGCCTCTGGGGGCCCTCGCGGGGCGGGGCCTCGGGACAGTCAAAAAACGACTCGGGATGAGAAAACCGCCCCAGGGAATGGATCGAGACCTCCTGGGGGTCGACGCCGTGGAAAGATCATGATGTCGGGGCCTGGGGATGGCCCTCTGGCTGGGCGGCCCCCGCCTGTCGGCTGCACGCAAGAGCGACCCACCCGATAGGCCAGAGGGGCCTCTCGTGCGCGGATGCAGGGGGTGGCGCAAGGTGGCCGAATCTACCGCATTGCGCTCCGCGACCAGGGGGGGGGCCCAGCGAACCCGCACCAGAAGCCCCTCCGGCGAAGGGTCGCTCTCGAGACTGGGACCCCCCGGAGTCGCCCCGCGCGAGCCCGGCGACGGACCCACGCGCGGCGGCGGCGCGAAGCCGGATGCCTCTCGGGGTCGGCCAAGAGGGGGGGGCGTCCAAGAGAGGGGGAGGCGCAAATCATGGCCAGCGCCACGTGAGCGGCCCAGCGGTGGGCCAGAGAACGCGTTCAAAGAAGAAGAGGGGCCATGCAACCTGGGGAGGTATCATGGCCCCAGCCACATCCGGCCATCCTCCTCCTCCTCCTCCTCCTCCTCCTCCTCCTTCTCCTCCTCCTCCCCTCCTTCCTCCTCCTCCGCCTCCTCCGCCTCCTCCTCCTCCTCCTCCTCCTTCCTCCTCCTCCTCCTCCTCCTCCTCCTCCTCCTCCTCCTCCTCCTCCTCCTTCCCTCCTCCTCTCCTTCCTCCTTCCTCCTTCCTCCTCCTCCTCCTTCCTTCCTCCCTCCTCCCTCTCCTCCTCCCTCCTCCCTCCTCCCTCCTCCCTCCTCCCTCCTCCTCCTCCTCCTCCTCCTCCTCCTCCTCCTCCTCCTCCTCCTCCTCTCTCCTCCTCCTCCTCCTCCTCCCTCTCCTCCTCCTCCTCCTCCTCCTCCTCCCCTCCTCCTCCTCCTCCTCCCTCCTCCTCCTCCTCCTCCCCCTCCTCCTCCTCCTCCTCCTCCTCCTCTCCTCCTCCTCCTCCTCCTCCTCCTCCCCTCCTCCTCCTCTCTCCTCCTCCTCCTCCTCCTCCTCCTCCTCCTCTCCTCCTCCTCCTCCTCCTCCTCCTCCTCCCTCCTCCTCCTCCCTCCTCCTCCTCTCCTCCTCCTCCCTCCTCCTCCCCTCCTCCTCCTTCCTCCTCCTCCTCCTCCTCCTCCTCCTCCTCTCCTCCTCCTCCTCCTCCTCCTCCTCCTCCTCCTCCTCCTCCTCCTCCTCCTCCTCTCTCCTCCTCTCCTCCTCCTCCTCCTCCTCCTCCTCCTCCTCCTCCTCCTCCTCCTCCTCCTCCTCCTCCTCCTCCTCCTCCTCCTCCTCCTCCTCCTCCTCCTCCCCTCCTCCTCCTCCTCCTCCTCCTCCTCCTCCTCCTCCTCCTCCTCTCCTCCTCCTCCTCCTCCTCCTCCTCCTCCTCCTCCTCCTCCTCCTCCTCCTCCTCCTCCTCCTCTCCTCCTCCTCCTCCTCCTCCTCCTCCTCCTCCTCCTCCTCCTCCTCCTCCTCCTCCTCCTCCTCCTCCTCCTCCTCCTCCTCCTCCTCCTCCTCCTCCTCCTCCTCCTCCTCCCCCTCCTCAGTCCTCACCCCCCACGTGGCCGCCCCCCCGAGCCTCTGGGAAGTGCGCACCGTGGCTGCGCCCGGCGGGGGGCGCCAACCCGAGGAGACTCGACGCGGCGGGGGCTGCCGGCGAGAGGAGGGCCAGAAGTCGAGGCCGCGGCGGCCCGCCCGGGCGCTGTGCGCAGATCCCCCGGGGGGCCTCGCGGGGGCTTCTCTGGTCGTCGCGGCCGGGTCCGCGTCGCAGAACGGGCCGGGACGGGCCCTGGGAGGGGTCTGGCTGCTGATCTTCAGCGGAGTCGGGGATGGACAGAACCCCCTGTAGCAAGACGTGGTGTAGTGAAAGGGACCTCGGGCCCAAACCTGGCGGGCGCAAGCCTGGAGAACATGACGGCCGCGGCGCCCTCTCGAGAACCGAGAACGGACAATTCACTAATCGACGTGTCAGGGTGGGGGTTCTGTCCGGATGCTGATCTTTAACACGCCTCGAACTGATCCCTGTCCCTGAGATGGGCAGGCCAAAAGCGATGACAAGCGTAGGGATGGGCCCTCGGAAACTGGGGGAAATCCTCAAGATCGGCATCGAGGCAAGGTGATGCCAAGCGTAGGGATAGAGATGTGTTCCAAACTGGTGAACCTTTAGCGGAGTTGGGCTGGGCGGGAAACCGCCGTTGTCCGGATGCGGCGAGGGCCAGGATCCAACATGCTCTTTCCCGGGGGGGGAGCAAAACTCAGGTTCGGGGGACTCGGGTTGGCCCGACGGGGCCGCCAGGAAAGCGACGAGACCCGCTTTGAAGCTTGACGCGACTTCTCCCTCGCAAACCTCTCACGAGAGCTGGACCGCCAAAGTTAGGCCGGGTCCGTCAAAAAGCGTCGGCAAGCCCTTGTTCTGGCGAACTCGAGCCTTACTCATCGGTCGAAAAAAATAGGTAGAAGCATGAAGTAGGAAGGCAGGCAAAGCAGATCGGGTTGGGGTCCACCCAGAGAGCAACAAAACGCGGCAAAAGCAGATCGATGAGTGAAGTGGGAAGGCGCTTGTGAAGTAGACTGGGCCCTGGGCATCCAAAACCACCAACTTTCAACGACCGCTTGGTCCGGTCCCCCATGATCCTCTGGAGTCCCGAAACGGTGCGGTGACGGACCGTGCGGTGACCGCGAAATCCCCCAAGACCTCACCGCACGGTCCGTCACCGCACGGTCTTGGGACCTCGGAGGCCCCAGTCGCCCGAGACGTCCTCGGAGAACGACCCGAGTCCCAAAACCGCGCAGTGACCCCGAATCCCCGCTGGCGCACGGTGTGGTCACCGCACCATCTGGGGGCCCCCGGGACCCGTCGGGCGGAGACCGGTGCACAACGACTTGCTCGGAGTCGGGGGCGCCTGCCCCCCGGGGCGGCTGCGGAGCCCACGCGCCCCTGTGGCGACGCGCGGAGGCAGTTCTAGAAACTCTCCGTGCGCCCCTGGGGCGGGCGCCCCCGACGGCGGAAGGGTGTGCGTAAACGTCGTTCATGTCTCATCGTGCTCGTTTCAAGATTGTGCTCGTTTCTGGCTGTTCCTGGCCCGCTAGTGGCCAGGAAGAGGCCCAGGATGGAGCAATCAGAACTGAAAGGATCTTGGCCCCCCCAAAAAATCAAAGAACGTGCGAAGAATTAGGAATGAACAATGTGTACATCATCCCGTTCTTCGTCCATCAAGCTATGCAATGCATTTTCACTGATAGGGCTCTGACCTTGAAACTGCCCCTTGACTGATGGCTTCACTGAGTATCGTTTAACCGGTCCCCATCCCCAGCGGCGACGCCTGGGCCGCACTGGCCGATCTACCCCCCTAGATGGGGATATAGGTCGTTCCCTTCGGGTTTCGAAGGGCGCATCCCCAACTGAGGTGGAAATTTGGTGGGGGTCTCGAAGGGGGTGGGGATGGAGATGGGGATCGATAACCGATACCGATTCATCGCTCGTAAGCTCAGGATGTATCCGATCCAGTGATTAGCTTCACTTAGCCTGTGTGTCTCCAGCAGAGAAACGACAGTACGACTCTCTGGGATGAGATTCGCGGGACCCGTGGGCACCAGCATGCGAGACGTCTGCCCTGGCGATGTTTCCGGCGTGGGGCGGGGCACGAGAGTGTCACAACGGGTCTGGGCGTCCAAGCTCACCCAAGAAGGCTTCAGGACGCCGCCAAGATTGATCGAGAGGCACTCAAGACGACGCAACCGGACCCATCAAGTCCCGAGAGGCGCCGAGAGAGCCCCCGAAAAGCCTCAGGAGGCGCTCAAGAAGTTCCGAGAGAGTCCTCAAGAGTCCCAAGGAGAGGTCCAAAGCATGTCAAATCAGCAGAAGCAGCACATGGCCTGCCATTGTGATTTGCGATCCATGCCTTTGGACCCAAGACAGCCTCAGGAATACACCAAGACGGCGCATGAGCGGCACAAGAACTTAACAGATCGGAGCGCTATGGATACCTGTGCCACAGAGGCTTGTACCCATGAATTCCCCTCCACCTCTTTCGCGCATGATGTGTTTGTGAAACGCACCACAAGGGGAGGAGCAGCAGTAGCAGGAATTGGAGCCAGAGCTGACAGCGCCTCCTGGAGCGTTACAGACTGTGAAGAGCACGGGGCAAATGATGAGAAAGACCCCTCCCGCTCATGCGGTGGCCACCACGGGGCCGGCCGAAAGTCGCACATGCTCCCTGCGGTCGCGGTCGCTGCCGTCGGCACGATGTTGCCTCCCCGCTCAGGTGCCGGGGAGGAGCGGGGAGGAGGAGGAGGAGTCAGGAGGAGGAGGAGGAGGAGGAGGAGGAGGAGGAGGAGGAGCCTCCTCCTCCTCCTCCTCCTCCTCCTCGACCCTCTGAGACTGGGGTCGCAGTCAGCTCTGCCCACTTCAGCCTGCAGCTGACAGCCGCCTGGCGAGAAGACCGCCACGAGCGGCCCGCGAAGAGGAAGGGTTGGCAGCGAGACTTGGCAAGTCGCTCGATACTCCAACGACTGAAACTGGACAACATTCATGTTCAAAGGATCTCTTATGACAAATGAAATCACGCTTCTGTCAAAGTGAAGCCCTGTATTCACGACTGCCCACGCAAGCACAAAGGATCGAGGAAAATGGGCGCGTTTTCACTGCGACGGTCCGGCTGTACGTGCAGGGGCCGCAATTGCCACCTTCTTGGCCTGCGGCCTCACTCTGACCTCTCCCGGCTCTGCGGTTTGACTGCAGGGAGGCCCTGTCCGAAAACCGATCTCGTTGTCCTCATCCTGATCATGTTGTGGTTGAGCTGCTTGCTACAAGGGTGGCACAACTCCAACCAGGCTTCCCCCTGATGTCGGAGACCTTGGACCATTCGAGAACGACCAGGGTCTCCAGGCTGGCACGGGCGACCGATCTTCGCTGCGAGCTTCGGCCGCGCGCCGCACTTCCCCGTTCCACTGCCTGCGCGCCCTCTCCCAGATAGGCCGTGGGGAGGGAGGGGGCGCTCCAGTGGTGGCGCCGGCCCACCTGCCCCGGCCCGCCCTCGCGTCGCAGCCCTCCAACCAGACCTCCCCCCTGCTTGGCCTCGCCTTCTCACCCTTCCCTTCCCCTCCTCCCTCCTTCCTTCCCTCCCTCCCTCCCTCTTTCCCTCCCCCTGCCCCGTGTGTCCCCTCCCACACACCCTTGAAGGGGCACGTTGGGGGAGAACCAGCTCAAGATGGAACTATCGAGCTGGAATTGCCAATATGTATACATATATGTATACATATATACACACATACATACATACATACATACATACATACATACATACATACATACATACATACATACATACATACATACATGCATGCATGCATACATACATACATACATACATACATACATACATACATACATACATACACGCATACATACATACATACATACATACATACATACATACATACATACATACATACATACATACATACATACATACATACATACACGCATACATACATACATACATACATACATACATACATACATACATACATACATACATACATACATACACACATACACGCATACATACATAAATACATACATGCATACATACATACATACATACATACATACACGTATACATACATACATACATACATACATACATACATACATACATACATACATACATACATACATACATACATACATACATACATACATACACATATACATGTTTACACGTGTGTATATATATATATAGATCGCCAATTCATCGGCGAAGGGCACCCGATCGCCAAACCCACGGATTTGGCCTAGGTGGGCTATCGGGCCCGCCCCGGCGACGCATGGGCGGTTGGGGGTCGATGCATATCCCCCTGACCCTATCCCCCCCTAGCGTTGCCCGTGAGATCCTTTTCCCCCCACCCCAGGGGAAACGAGGACACGAGAGCCGAAGAGGGCGCAACAGTTCAGACGGCCACTCGTCCAGGCGCAGATGGGCTTTACGGCCGAGCAGGCCTCCCTCGCATTGGCGGAAGGTGCCGCGCAGTGTACGAGGCACCGAACAAACCGTACCCCTGGCGAGGTCTGTAAAAAAAAACGGCTGGAAAACAAGGCGGGTCTGTGGCGAACACGGGGTGCCACCCCCCGCCTGCACACCCGAGCACAAGGCGCCGGCTGCAAGCGGGCGTTGGCATTTGCGCCTCGGCACCTCGGTGAAACAAGGCGCCGCCTTGGGGCATCCCCACCAGCGGCGCAGTGACAGGGCAACGGAACAGCCGCTAGCAGCTCGCGCAGCGCAGTCAGGAATTTAGAAAGCTTAGCACTGGTGCAGGTTTCCTTTCATGCCGTCGGCGTCGGGGGCGCAGTTAATGCCAGGCGCGTTGCTAACGGCAGCGAGAAAAGCCGCAGCGGCTGAGCTACGTTCCGAGTGGCCGAGCCCCCATGCATCTGGGGTGGGGCCCGGGCGGCCCCCTGCCTCCAGAGGCTTTGTCGACCTTTGCCTTCTCGGACGCGGAAGGAGCCATGGGCGCGTCGAGCGCGGGCCCGTCTCGGAGCGGTAGACTGCGCGGCTCTGGCCCAAGTCCTTTGTCCCTGGCGAGTAGTCCTGGGCCCCTAAGCCTCCAATCCACGGGGGGGGCGGCGCGCGGGCCCAGAGGACGGGGCTGCTCCGCAGAGGTGCCGGGAGCGCGCCGGCGCTTGCCAGCCCCGCGGGCAGGGGCTCCGAGGCTGGCCCATGAGGACCTCGCACATCCGCGCCATCGTAACCCATGGACGTCGCGGTGGACACCGCGGCGCGATGCGCGGCGGGCGGATGCGTCGCGGCGCGCGCCGCGACGCCGCCCGCGCATCGCGGGAGGTCGCGCCGCCGCGCTGGCCCCGCCCCCACTCCTCCGCCAAGCCCAGGGGGGCCGCCGAGAGGAGACAAGCTGTCCCCCGCGCATGCGAGGCCGCAAGGTCGCGGACATCGCAAGAGGGGCATTTGAAACAAGGGGTCGCCGTGCCCCAGAGGGCCCCACCCCCTCTCGCCCCGGCGAGGTTTCTGCTGGCGGCGCCGAGCGGCCCGCGAACCTCCCTGCGGTCGCCTGGACGAGCATGAAAACAGAAACCTCTCCAGGGCGCAGTCGAGCTGCTCGCGAACGCGGCGCTGTTCCAAGACGCGCCGCTAAGAGACGCGGCGTTCGGCGCGCAGCTCGCGCCGCGCGCCTCACTCGCAGGCGCGAGGCCGCTGGCGCCGAGCCCCGCCGTGCGCATCGGCGTCGAGGAGCTGTTCCCGCACGCGCTGCTCGACGCCAAGGCGCTGTTCAGCGTCGAGGTGGTGGTCCTGCACGAGCTGCTCAAAGACGCGGCGCTCACAACTCGTCTCTCTCGTGGATGCGAGGCAACTGGCATTGGATTCCGTCGCGCAGCTCGACGCTATGGCGCTCGACCCCATCGCGCTGCTCGCCGCGCCGGGGCCCGACGCGCCGCTCGAAGACGCGGTGATCATTGCGCTGCTCGTCTCGCTCGAGGCTGCGAGGCCGCCAGCGATTGGCCCCGTCGCACCGCCCCATGTGGCGGCGCCGAGCTCGCTGACGCTGCCCAGCACTGAAGTGACGGCCGCAGACGCGCCGATCACAGACGCGGCGGCCATTGCACTGCTCGCCTCACTCGTAGATGCGAGGCCGCCGGCGATGAGCCCCGTCGCGATGCACAACGCCGCGGCGCTTAAACCCGTCGCACTGCCCCGCGTGGGCGCGCCAGTCTGTGACATGCTGCTCAAAGACGCGACGCTCGTTGCACTGCTCGTCTCACACGTTAATGCGAGGCTGATGGTGCTTGATGTCGCCGCGCTGCTCAACGTCGCGGTGCTCAATTCCGTCGCGGCGCCGGTTGCCGAGGCGCTGCTGGAAGACGCGGCGTTCGGCGCACTTCTCACCCCGCTCGCAGGTGCGAGGCCGCTGGTGCTGGACCCAGTCGCGCTGCTCAACGTCGCGGCGCTCCATGTCGACGCGCGGCGCAGCGTGGAGCTGCCGGCCCTGGGCGCGATGCACAGAAACGCGGTGCGCATTGCACTGTTCGTCTCGCTCGCCCCACGCATGCGGGGCCGCTGGCGCCGGGCCCCGCCCCGGCGCACGCCGCCGCGATGCCCGGCTCCGCCGCGCTGCTCGGCGTCGAGGCGGCGGCCCCTGACGCGTCGCTCGATGACGCGGCGCCCGTTGCACTAGTTGCCCCACTAGCGGGCGCGAGACCGCCGGCGCTGAGCCCCGTCGCGCTGCCCACCGCCGCGGCGCCGACCTCCGCCACTCGTTCGGCGTCGAGGCGCCAGTGAAAGACTTGCTGCTGGACGAGCTCGACTCCGTCGCGCCGCTCGCAGTCGCGGCGCCAGTGCCAGGCGCGCTGCCAATTGCACTGCTCGCATCGCCGGTAGACGCGAGGTCGCCGATGCCGGCCCCGTCGCGCAGCTCACCGCCGCGGCGCCCGCCTCCATCGCGCTGCTCAGCGTCGACGGGCCAGTCGCGCACAGGCGGCGCGAAGACTTGGCGCTCGCCGCACAACTACCCGCAACCACGGGCGCCAAGCCGCCAGCGCCCACGCCCGCGCGGCCCCGGCGGCTGACCGCGACCACGAGGGCAGGGGAGACAAGGAGACAAGGCACGCGCTCGCCCTGATAGAAGGCTTTGGAAATGGCGCGCTGGAGCGGAGCTCTGCAACGCGCGGCCCCGCGGTTTCAATCGAACGCGCGAGCCAGGGCAAGCTGATGCCACCGAGCACCCCTCGACAATTGGCAGCACAAAAAAACTACGCTGTGCCACGGGGGCCAAGAGAATCGCGGATCCCGCCAGCGCGGGCCTCTCCTCTGCCAGCGGATGCGTCATCGGCATCCTTCTCTGGCCATTTTTCGGCCAGGAGCTCGCGGGCGGTCGCGCCGATGGCTCCACGCAGGGCCTCCTCGGCGCCGCCCTCTGGAATGCAGGGACGAGGTCGGCCAACGGTGGGTCGCGGCCCCCGTCGGCGCCCGCGCTGAGACGCGCCCGAGAGGAGCTCGCGAAGGCGACCCCGCTGCCGCAGACCAAGTCCCAGGGCGAGCGCGAGCCCGTCGACGCCGTGGTCGCTGGCGTGACAGCTGGCATCGGCGATGCACGCTCAGGCGCTGGCACGGGCTTGCACGCGCGCGCAGGCGGGCCTGGCGAGTGAGCCATAGACCCCGCGGTCGACGGGGCCGGCGTCTCCGCCGACCTGGGCGCCGACGTCGGCGCAGCGCGACCTCCTGCCCGATCGGCCTCATCGGGGGAGCTCGGCCCCCAAGGGGGGAAAGGAATCAAACTCGACGCGGGCAGGGGGGCGGCGCTGCCACTGGTCAGCAAGACCGCCCAGCACCGGTGCTGATCCCCCGCGCGGCCGACGACAGAGCCGCACAAGCCGTCGTCGTGGTTAATCACCTGGCTAATGACCGCCACCTCGGTGCGTTCCTGGACGGGCGGGGGCGCGGGCGAAGGGGCGAGGCCCACGACGTCGGGCAGCGCGTCGGCCCTAGCGGGCCGCGCGTTTGACCTGGCGGACCCAGGCTCGGTCCTGAGGGCGGTCGACCGGGCCCGAAAGCTACCGGGTACGCTGCACGGCTGGTCCACCTCGTTCTAGTGGCCCATTTCGTCACCCAAGTCACCAGCTCGCCTGGGGGCTGTCGCGATGGCTGGTGACATTGTAGTTGGTGGTGATGAAGCTGGCATTTGCCGCGCAGTGGGTGTCGCTAATTGCCAGCTCCTCCCTGGGCTCCACCCTGGTAGATGCACCCGTGGAAGTTGGCGCGGGCTGCAGCGCCGGAGTCCAGGGTAGCGGCTAAGTTGCGGCCAATCCAGACTTGACATCCCATCTGGCTCGCATGCGGCCCAGGCCTGCCCAAGCCCGTACCCGCTGAACACGTCTGGGGCGAGGTCCTCGCAGATGCCCATGAACATCTTGGATTCGACGTGGTGGAAAGATCAGCGATCGATGAGGGCGCTGAACTCTGAACCTCTGGTCCTCGCTGCCCTCCACCAGGTACTGCGCGTATTTACTGGCGTGGTGACAGAGGACGTGGTGATGGTGCTACTGGCATATGAGGTTCCAGCATCGTCCCTGGTGAGCTCTGTGAAGGATGCATCGCAGTTAACACCACCAAGACGGGCGGGGGATGCAGTGTCAGTGTCCTGGTGGACATCGACTGGGGCCGTGAACCCTGGCGGGCCACGACTGGGACCTCCACCCTGGCCTCCTCCGCTGCTCGGGAGAATAACAGCGCAGGCCTCCTGGCGCGCGAGCAGGCTCTCGGGATGGAAGGCTTGGCGGCCCTTGCACGCGCCCGGGTGGTTGGCGCTCTTGGGTCCGATGATGGTCAAGGCAAAGGAAATATCTTGCTTTGATGAATGTTGCGAGGGATGGTTCCTTGCATCAAGCGTGCGTTGGTGGATGCTACTGATGCGTGGGATCCCGTAGTCGGCCCTGGCGATCGGAAGCGCGATCGGGACGTCCCAGTTTGGCGCATCGAGGCAGGTGAGTGGGGCTGTACCGTTACCTTGGTGGATAACGGCCCGGGCCGTGAACCTGGCGGGCCACGGCTGGTGCACGCATTATGGTAAAATACAAGACGCAATTGTTTCGTGCACGCAACTGGTCTTGAATGTCATGTACAACTTTATCAACTCGCTCCTGAACCAGGGCTGGTTGGAGCAGTGTCGCCGGTATACGATCTCGAGGTCACGAGGGTGCTTCTGGACGAGCTCGTCGTAGGCTGCAGCAGCCCGGTCTGCGCGGCCACTGGCTTGGAGATCAGCGGCGCAGACCTCCGGGCGCGCGAGAAGGTTCTCTGGACAGGAGGCTTGGCGGCTCCTGCATGATGGCTTGGGCTGCGGTGGTGCATGACGCACACGGCGAGGGCCCTCGGAAGCCACTGCGGCGCGTGAGGGGGTAAAGAGGTGACGCGAAACAATCACACTCTGAATATGGCGTGTCCAGTATCGCCATCCGCGGGGAAAGCTGATAGGTGCGCTTGGGGGTTCGCGTCGCGGCTGTGCCCTGTGTCAGGGACACTCGAGCCAAGACTGAAGAGAGCTGGAGAGGGAGGAGGATACCCCTGCATGTCCGGCCTGCTGTGCCCCTGGGTCCGCGACATGGCCTCCTTCTCGTGGCCGCGCGGCCTCGCAGAGCAGGGGCGGTGTCGGCTCGAGGGGCGGTTGAGCAGAGAGGCAGGAGAGGACGCAGGAGAAGATGTCGGAGGGCAGACGATGAAGAGCAGGGAGGAGGCAGAAGGGATCGAGAGGAGGCGCAGGAGGACAGGGATAGGGGCGAAGGGCAGGAGACAAGCTAGATGCTCCCGCGCCAAATCTGACATCATGTCTATCGCTCGCATCCCTTCCCATTGCGCTGAAGTATTCTCTATCCGCGGACGCGTGTCATAAGCGACCTGGAGCTCCAACGCAAGGACCCCATCTTGTTATGCACACTCGGAAATGGAGAGTTCTACAAATAGGAAGAGAAGGTGACAGGTGAGCAGGAGGATGACTTAAAGGAGAAAAAGGAGGGTGTCGAAGAACGAGGACGAGGACGAACAGCACCAGCAGAAACTGGAGTGTAACGAGCGGGAAGAGCGGGAAGGCAGAGGAGGAGGCGGAGGAGGAAAGGGGAAAGGGAAGGAGGAGGGGAAATGAGGGGGGCGGCAACGAAGAAAAAGGAGCTGGATCCAGAACAGTGGCCCGCGCTAGGGCGAGAGCGCCTATCTGAACGACGGGAGCAAAGCGCCGATCCGAGAATGAGGCCCACGCTGCAGCGAGAGTACCACTTTGAAGCACCGAGAACAATCGGATTGACTCCACATATGAAAACCACCTCTGCCCAATTCCGACACGCGGAGAGAATCCGCCATCCTCCAGACGGAATCTGGGAAGAGAGAGGGGAGCAGCATCCCTGACGTACAAGGTGTGGAGGGCAGAGGAGAGCCGGGGAAGCGGCGCGGGCGAGGCAGGAGGCAGAGGAGGGGGAGAGACAGAGCGACTCGCCGTCTCTCGGACGCCCACTCCCCCCGGGCACGTCTCGGTTTCGTGCGCACGTTGCTCGCGAAGTGGTCCTGGGTGCCTCTCGATGGTCCTCGCTGAGAAGTGCACACGCCCGAGCAATGTCCAGGCGAGGAGCGAAAGGGACGTGGGGTAGGGGAGAGAGGAAGGACGCAAGGGCCGCGAGGGGAGGCGGGGAGCGGGGGCGAGGCAGGCTGGAGCTCGCGCCTGGCGTCCCAGGCTCCCCCTTTTCCGCACCCCTGCCGGCCCTCCACCCCCCCTCGTCGACCTTGACCCACCTGTCGGGAGAAGCAGATGGAAGCATGAAGCAGGAAGGCGTTGAGAGCGGATTGGGCGTCCGCCCGCCCCCCAAGGAGGACGGAAACGGGGAAGCCACTCGACCATTGAAGCAGGAGGGCGCGCAAAGTAGAATACAAGAATACCTACATTCAACGACCGATGGGTAGTGGCTCGCTGGTCGTCCAATGCCCCGCGGGGGGAAGGTGAGGGGGCCTCTCGGTGCGCCGGCCGCAGCGGCGGCGGCGGCGGCGCACGAGGGCGTGCGCCAACTAGCTGGTGCTCTCCAACCACGGCGGCAGGCCCACATCCTCTTCCTCATCCTCTTGTTATTAGCGTTAATATTCAAATTATTGTTATTGCCTTTTCTTCTTCGTATTGCTATTATTGTTCTTATGTGGATCATTAATACTACTATTCTTCTGATGACTGAGATAAGTATCATTAGTACGATTCGTATTATCGCATTCGCCTTCTTCTTACGATTCGCATTATCATTCTTCTGATTATTAGAGAGAACGCGTCTCACGGGCGCTCACCTTGGGAACATTCGGCGGCGCGTTTCGAACCGGGGGGTGGGCCCCCCCCTCCCCCAAACTCGGCGCCGTCGATCAAAACCAGGGGGACTTCCCTCCCCCCGAACCCCCCCCTCCCGAACCCCCCCCCCCGTCCAAGGGGAGGGCGGGAGGTTCAAACCCCCCTCCCCTGGCTCCAGCGCCGGCGGCCGCCAGCAGCGCCGACGGCGGGGACGCAGCGACGATGACCAGAGGCATCCCAAGAAGGGGGGAGGGAGGGGGGAGGGGTTTCAACCCCGCCCCCTTCCCCCGTGGCGCCGAGGGGGGGGTTCAAACCCCCCCCCTGTTGGCGCCGGCGCCGGCGCTGGCGGCGGTTAGCAGCGCCGGCGCTGGCGCCGGCAACGGCGGGGACGCAGCGACGATAACCACCACTACC